AAGTGAATTAGAAAGAATCTTATTCCGCAATGATCTGTTGTTAAACCAAGAGACGTTTTTTTTTTAGTCAGGAAATAATAACTTTTTACACAAGAGTTATCTAAGTGGCTTTGTTTATTAATCTATTTGTAGCTCGATTATTGCGTGGTTGTTTTTAGCTCCATTACGTAGGACCATTATTAGTGAAAAAAGGAGTGAAAGGGTCAATGTCACAGGACTATATGCAGACTAGATACTAAATGTAGACAGGAAAATGACCTTAGAATAATACAGATCTATAAATATGATACAGTTGGAGAGGAAGAAAGGATAGATGAATGGACGGACGTATTGATAGATGGTTGGAAGGAAGGAAGGAAGGAAGGAGGGAAGGAAGAAAAGAAAGAAACGAACGAACGAACGAACGAACGAGCAAACAATGAAGGACGGAAAAAAGGAAGAGAACGGAGTAAAAAGGAAAGAGGGACAGACAGTAATTTGATATGTTCAGTTGCATGAAATCCGCAAATAAACATTTGTCTTGCATGAGATTAGATAACGGCTAAGGTTCCTAAAGGTCTATGACTTTGAAGAAGATCATTAAACTTTTAATCAGTCATAACCAAGTTGTTGCTGCTTCGACCATTTGGCTCCTAAAGGTCTGCAATTTTTAGTAAGATATCCGTAACTAAGGAAAAATCTATTGATTACGAGTAAACCCTACCGGAGCGAGATTGCGGGTTTGAGTCTTTTAAAATGATTTCTAWTAATCACAGGGGTCGGTTAAGAAGAGATGGCGGTAATGTGTGCTAAATACAGGACGTTATGCACCTGGTGTACGTTTAATATAGAGTGGTCGCTCTTACAGGGTGGTCGCTTAATACAGGTTCTTTGAATACGCAATGCAGACTGCTCATCTAACACAGCCTGCATAATCACTTTGCAAAGTTTGGATGTCCGTCAATACATTACTGTTCGCTTAAGACAGGTTGCCTTTGAAAACAGTTTGGTCGCTTATTACAGGTTTAACTGCTTGTCTAACACAGCTTGCAAATCCACTTTGCCAAAGTTCGAACTGATTGCTTGAGACAAGTTGCCCGTTTCAAATAGGGTAGTAGCTTCACATAAAACTTACAGGCAAACTTTSTACAGTCTGCCTGGTCCGATACAGAATGTTCATTCGCTTGATACARGGTGCTGGCTCTTAGATAAGATGGATTTAGACTATCAACTCAATACCAGTTGTCCAGATTATTACCGAGTGGTCGCTTTTAACATGCTGTTCACTTTATTCAGGTCGTCTCGATTAATGTCCAATGGTTGCTTTATCCAGGCTGTCCACTTAATACAGGTTGTTCCCATTAATACTGAGTGGTCGTTTTATACAGGTGTCCACTTAATATAAGTTGTTCCGACTAATACTGAGTGGTCGTTTTATACAGGTGTCCACTTAATATAAAGGTTGTTCCAACTAATACTGAGTGGTCGTTTTATACAGGTGTCCACTTAGTATAAAGGTTGTTCCAACTAATACTGAGTGGTCGTTTTATACAGGTGTCCACTTAACATGTTGTTCCGACTAATACTGAGTGGTCGTTTTATACATGTGTCAACTTAATATCAGGGTGTTCCAATTGATACTGAGCGGTCGTTTTATACAGGCTGTCCCGCTTAATACAGGCTTTATTTGTTGTTGTCGGACTGTTTGCTCAAAATTAAATGGTGCTGGCTGAAGGGAAAACGTTCTCATATGTCGACAATAATTACAGGAAGCAGACTGTTTCAGTGTTTACTTACTCAAGGATGTCGTATCGATGATAATTTTGTGAAGCGGGAAGTCCAATGATCGCTATACAAATGCCCCCTTACTAAGTAAATATAGAACAAAAATAAGCAATGAAAATTAAAACTACGCCGTGGGAGTCCATAATTCTTCGTACTAAAAAAAATAGTAATAATTTCAGGTTTTTAGCGACMAAAATATTTCTTGAAAGATAAAATAACAAAATTCAATACAGTTATATTTTAAAGGGTTTCAAAATCTTCATTTCTTGAAAATGTTGGTATAAATAGAACAAGAGCTAAGTGTAGGACTGGTTGAATATATAAAAGTCTMGGATTTCTTTTAGTYTGATATGAATGAAATAAGTAAGTTGAAGTCCTTTTGCTATTCTACTGTTTTCMTCCCATYGCACTGAAAACACGCYGACTTAGATCAGCCCAAAGGTTGTTTCAGGGTATCAATAAAATATAAATTTCAAGGCTTTATTTTGATATATAGTCTCATAAAACGCATGTTAGAACTGCAAACGGAAACCTCGCTCGATGTGATTTAGGTTCGATCTCTAGACCTGTCGTTATATGCAAACAAAACCATAGTAGTCCTGTGCTAAAACCCAACACGCTTATTCCAATTCGACCATGCAATGAGGACCACATATTCACTAGCTGCTGAGCTATAAATTGTTACCCTTCCAAAAAAAAATTAGTGGTAACTAGTAGAGTACTAGCGTGGACTGCGTCGGTGTTTCTCAATAAAACAGCAGGAACTTGTGGATAAATTGAATCACCGTAAAAAGCTTTGTGAAACTGACGTTTCGGACGTTAGTCCTTCGTCGGAGTAAGTGCAAATTGATTCATTTTAAATATTTTATTGGTCGAAAAAGACTATTTCAAAACGCGCAGTTTTCGTTCATTTTTGTTAAGATCTCAGATTGAAATGTTTGATTTTTTTGTTTAAACTATATTTATCCTAATAATAAGTTTTGTTTGCACCAAATTTAAAAATCGTTTYTGGGTTCAAATGATTAAATCATTGAAGCTAARACCGAGGGGTATTCTGGGTACACATGCACKAAGAGGCAAAATGCTTCGTTTGTTAACTCGAATCAATGTTGCGAGAGCTGAAAAACTGCAATCAAACAGACGTTTTCTCAATTTATAACACTGGCACATAAAGTTACGTTTATTTGCTGAGAAAAAAAGTAGAAAAGAGAGCATATTCGTAACCCGATCCCTCTAATCCCAAAGAGTCTGCTTTTGTCAAAATCCAATAGAATAAATACAAGAAAACAAATATTAAATCTGTCAACTAAAAACTCATTAATGTCAATCAAAGTTTTGACAACGAAACTGTCAAATCAAATATTGAATTTTTCAATTTATTTATTTCAACTCATTTATTCATCACACTGAATACCTTGCTTATTACTGATTCTTTAACTTGATAATAATTTAAGGAGAGAAAAATATAGGTTTATATACATTTTTCGTATGATTTCGTCTTCKTTACTTTTTTGTACATTTAAATTTAATTTTGCCATTACCGAAAAAAAATTTCATATTCCTATATGAAATAAATATTTTTAGTATTAGCATATAATGAGTATATTTTATTTTTTACTTTTTTTTAATTAAGCAATTTACTAACTATTYGAAATTATGAGAATATGTGGACCGCGTAGCACTCATGAAATACATGAAGATACTCATGAAGATATAGAAATATAGATAAGTTATAGTGCTTGGGAACGAGGTTATTCCGGGCGAAAGACCCTTGGAATTAAATTCGGAAAAATTAATTTCCGACCTCGCTGGGARTCGAACCCACGACCTTCGGAATAATTTACTAACTATGTGAAATTAAATCCTTTTGTAAGAGTAAATACAGCTTATGTTTTGTTTTTTACTGATTTTTAATTAAACAAACTAATATAATTCGAAACAAACGGATACATATTTGCTTGTTTGATCATTCAATTTTTATTTGCTTGTCTTCAGTTCCATTATACATCCATTTATTCATTCAATTACATTAAAGTTCATTCATTCATTCATTCCATTTTATTCCATCCATCCATCCATCTATTCATTTATTTATTTCACTAAGCTTCTCTCCAATCAGCCCATAACTAAATCATCCTTTACGATCATTTTTCCTTTTATTCATTCAATTGCATTAAATTTCATTCAATCATTATTCGATTTTATTCCATTCATCCATCCATGTATTTATTTCACTAAGCTTTTCTCCAATCGGCCCATAACTAAATCATCCTTTGCGATCATTTTTCCTTTTATTCATTCAATTGCATTAAATTTCATTCATTCATCATTCAATTTTATTCCATCCATCCATCCATGTATTTATTTCACTGAGCTTCTCTAATCAGCCCACGACTAAATCATCCTTTACGATCATTTTTGTAATTTCGTTTCATTTTTTTTTGAAATTAAAAAAACTGTTACAACTAATGACCGAAAACGTCTAGTTAACAATACTAATATCAATTCTTCCCATAAAACGTTAAGAACTGCACAAAACATTTTCTAGAATACCGTATTCCCAATATTATTTCAAAATCTTAATTGTTCTTAATAAAGTAGATATACTTATAATTGCCACTGCTTTAAGAAGAAAGTTTAAGTGTTAAAACTATAAAAGAAGAATGGACAGCCAGGYTTTTATTGTTGAGTGTATCTAACTAAATATTTTTTTATAATTATCCAAAAAATTATTTGACTAGATTAGGATTTTAATCCTCGAAACGAATGAAAGAAAGAATGTTTTTAATAACCTAATTTTTGGGGGTATGGATTATTGGCAATAATTTCTTTGTACTACTTAGTTGGAAAATTTTGTCCATTTTTGAAAGAGAAGAAATTCTTCTAGAAAGAATATCGAGCCATTTGTCGCTTGCCCTTGAGAAWTGAACCTACAAAACACATCAGGAAACTTCAAACCCGCCACAGTTTGTCAACTCAATAGCCGACCAACATCTATCATTCTCGTAACAGGAATCGTCGCTAGGCAACGCTATCACTAGCATKCGGACCTAAGCCGATGAGGTCTTGGGTTCTAGTTAACATCCCCTTCGTGTTCGTCAAAACAATGGGGTAATTTAAATACTATAAATACATCAACCAATTGAAGGATGTTTTGGTGTACGGATTATATTTACYGCGCGCTGATTGGTTGGTTCGGACAGTACCTAACAACCGCGGTAGAGTAAGAACGGGTGGCGAAACTTAAGTTTCTAGAAACAGCTGTGTGTGGCGAAGTGACGTGTTCCCGGGAAAATCATTACTAACTTGGCTGAAAGCTCAAGGCCTACTTGGATATARATCGATCGTTCTTACGCTTACAGGAGAAAAATCAAAATTGAAGGGGGAAGCTTATGGGCTGATTGCGAACGAGTCGGCATGGCCGACGAGGTARATACAGCATTCAACGCAAGGGACCTTTTTGGGACCGTTGATTTGGATGGCAGTGGATACATTGACCGCGAAGAACTTGCTGCAGTATGCGATTTAGACTATGAAGACCTTGGAGAGGTGTTTAACCAACTCGATGTGGACCGCGATGGAAGGATTAGCATCGAAGAGTTCTCGGAGAACTTCAAAAAGTTYAAAAATGTTGTCTCAGGGTTAAAACAAAAAAGGCTAACAAGGTCGGCAACAGGTGATGAAATTGAAGAGCTCAAACAGCGATTGGGTAAATCGTTCTCGAATCTATCTGGGTAAGTCTACGTTACTTTAAAAAACGAATTATTTTTGCTTGTTAAATCTTGCAACTCCAGGGACAGAGCTAACGGGGATACCCTGCACAAGAACCAGGACAGGTTTCTCTTTGTTTAAGATTCATAAGCGTGAAGAAAACAAAAAAAACAAAAAAAAAAAACACCAGTTTTCCATATTAAGTTCCTTCCACTTTCTTTCGTGAGGATACACAGACGAATACAAATGCACGCAGTTTAGACACCAGCTCTCATTTTTACCTCGGGGCTCAATTTAAACGATCACGAAAACACTGAAGATCTTATCCTGATGATGTTGCAAAATTTTCTATTCCATTTWTTTTCGAAATCTTGCACGGTTATTAAACCAAACAGGTACAACTCTTCCCCTTTGSCCTAAAAACAAGTGCCTTGGAACTATGTAATTCTGCAAAAATAAACCTATAGCGACACAGTTTTTTTGAAAAACATTATCGTAACAAGGGAAGAAAAGATTCTAGTTTAGAGTAAGAAAATTAGTGACTAAAGTATACGAAAATAAGTTGTCGAATTGAACGAAGTTCGAGCTTAGTGAGTTGAATTTGCCRTCGAAGAGAAAAGCGATTCGCTTCAAGAAACTAGATAATATTTCCGTCTTGGATGTCGTTCCTCTAATTGTTCTAGTCGTAAACTTAATAACTCTATGTTATGATAAATGTATCTTTTGTTTCTATTTCCTGTCTTAAAATATCAATATTCTAGTAGAAGGAACTATGTTCAAAGGGKTTTTTTTCGATGTAGTTTACTGGGAACCGACAACGCCAAGTTGCTCGACCCACGGCCTAAATGATGAGACACGGATATCAAAGCGAGCTAACAGGACAATGTCGTGATTTAATTTCGAGGGCTTTTAGGCCAAATGATATCAGTAKTATTACTATTAAAAGCCTCATGGTTTGGACTTCCGATGGTGAAATGATGTCCATATTTCTTCGTTTGAAGCCAAATAAACGTTGCACTTTTATATCAAACTTTGCACGCCGAGGTACTAAAAATTATAGATATATATATATATACATATATTTCTTTTTGTCGAAATCGGTTGCCTAAAATTAGAGGAATATCCTTAGTTAAAACGAAATCACTGAATCTGAAAAATAGCATATCTATTTCAACGATTTATTCCAGTAAAACAAATACAGAACAACAGCAGAAAATAAAAATAAAAATATCGTAGGCTAATATAAAAATTTATTTTCCATTCAACTCAAATTCAATTTTGGGATAGACAATTTTTATTTTTCGGGCCTGAGTGAAGAAATACGTCTAAAATTTCGTCCTTAAACCTAGAAACTGCAAAAGCCATAATAATTATTTTTAGAACTAACATAATAATCTGAACCCACTACATGTATTATTCATCTTGTCGATGGAACAGAACAAGCAAACACTAAACATGAAATTTGTTTTAACAGAGAGAGATTAAGATTGACAAGTGATAGTTTGGCGTTGGGGGAAAATACGGAATCACTGSAATTTTCCTTTATTTTTACTCGAGACTAACTAGAATAGAGCWGCTTAAGATTTAATTTCAATTTATTCAAAAAAATGACTCTTTGGTAGGCTATAAATTATCGCGAGTTCTCTGAAAACTAAGCGGAACGCAGCAACACTAGCTGACAAATGAACAACCTCTTGTACCTCAAACGAAAACTCCCCCCAAAAAATGTTACAACTTAGACGATTATTTTTAAGGTATTTTGCTAGAGTTGGTCGCTTGTTTAGTGGGAAAAAAATGCTTATTTAAGCTGCCTTGAATTCCGTTGCCATGAAAACCAAAGTCTCGTTGAAGAACGTATTCTTGCTTAATCTAAAACCTACGCAAAACCCGAAAATTATCACAGTTCTTACAATTTTTAAAATGCGTTTTAACTTTCAAGGCCATTATTAGAAAAGCGGAAAGAGAACTACCCAAGATTGACTAAAGTCTTAAAATGAAACCTTAATTGAAAAAAAACAAGTAAAATTCAACCCGAAAAACCAAGATCTCGTGACATTTAAGTACTTTTTTAATGTCTCTCAAGGAAATGAAGACCATTTATTCACATAACTTATTTTAGAAATAAATTTGCATCTCTACTTAACTAAGTTGGAAAAGGATCCTTCGCTATCAAACTGAAATCTTACACTGCCGATTGGAATMATTTCAGCTGTCAAAAAGTGTTTATATTGTCTAAGGGTTTGTCTTGAACATCTCTGGCGAGAAATGGCATAATTGATCCCTAAAAAGCGCGGGAAAGTAGGCGTATTATCTTCGCCCCAATCGCCATATCCATCGTCTCTATCCACCTTGTAGAGTTTTAAAAATTCACATCTTTTATTTTGCTAATATGCTTCCAACTTTCTTAATTATTATTTTTAAATGCTTGAATGTTTTGAAATAAAAGGGAATTTTTTCAGAGCAAAAAAGCCATTCCAACCTTTTATTTTGATTGGATAAAACGGCCCCAGAATCTAAAACCCGGCTTAAATTCAACTTTATGCATACGATAACATAGCACGGCTCTTAAAAATACATCAGTTGAAACAAACCTGAAGCGTTCGGAAAAGGCGGACTGTTCGCTAAATATTAAATTATCGTGATGAGCKATCGTTAAACAGCAGGAGACGCATAGGTGGAAGGATTTGCTAAGACGAACACGACAGAGTTCTAATCAAGRTGGTATATCAAAATGACTACAAAATTGTAATAAATTAAACTAGTACTTCGACGTCTGCCTGGTTAAATTMAACATGAGTTTTCATACTCATGGTTAACAGATTTTGGGCTAAAAATTTGCYGGAAAGCCGGGAATGAAAGTAGAAATAGAAAAAGTGTCGTGGATGAATCTTTTCGTGATGAATTGAGGGGGAAAACCTGTAACCAAAGAACTGAAAAACGTTGGGATAAAATATGCYGAGAGGAGAATCCAAAAGTGTGAGCCGGGGTTACATAAAGTTTTGTGTATAGTCGAATGGAAAGCTAGAAAATTAAATCAGAAGAAAAATTATGAAAAAAGATTGCTTCATTTTAGTTTCTAGATGGTGAAGTTTTGCTTCCATATTTGCGCTTGTTTATTTGCTTGTATTGTTTGGATTTTCTTTTGTGCAGAAGATGAATAAGGTACAGGAATTTCACCCATAATCGTTCATAGTTATAAATAATTGGACAAGCTTGCATTATTTTGTAGGGCTTTGAAGTAAACATTTCTGTTCAAACATATATTGCAAGGATATATAGTTCGGGATAGGATCATCGCATTTGTGATTATAGGATCATGTTCCATGCGAATAATTCGCTGAAGAGCTTGAGGCAACTGGATAAATTTCGTATATCCATTTGTCCTGTATACAACAGAGTTGGTTTAGCCTTGTTTGGGCTTCTAAAAGATCATTAAAATCGTTTTGAAGTTTAAAATTCGAGAAGATTAAAATTTATTATAGTATGCGGTATTCAGTTCTCACAAGAAAACCTTTCTTCCAAACAGTTTTATGACATGTAAATGTTGCATGAATTGATAACGGCAATGTTGCATGTCGAAGGATACATAAAAATATTGCACCTGCAACTCCAGCTATCCATATCATATTGCATGTTAAACATTGTGTATGAGACTCATAACTGCAGCCGATATGGTAATGTAGCATTACATAGAGCGGAACTGATATATTAACAGGAAGTATTGCATGTGTAAGATGCACACTAAAGAATGGCATCACTGCATGGAGATGCTGCATTTATCACTGACTACTACTCGGATACTCTTCCATGCGACATCTCATATTTTACTAGGAATTCAAATATGCAAAATTTAAGAGAAGAAATCCTACTAGAACCTTTTTTCAAGTCACATTCAATGACCAATAAAGCTGTAAAGTTGATGAACAATTAACAAGTTTTAGTGATGGACCATTTGGGGGGGGGGGGTGTTTCCTTCTTTACAGAAAGAAGAGGTTGATATTTTGTGGGAGATTTGTACGTGCAACCCCCCTTCGATCATCAAATGGTCCATCCCTTAGAGGGTGGAACACCTACGGTCAGAACAGCCACTACGCGTGAATAYTGCACATCGCTGATAGCCATGGTTACGGCACGACGTAGGGTCAAAAGAGCGTCATTCAGTCGAATCACGTTTTCAGGTCGGCATCCATGACACGTTTTCTGGGACGGGTTGTACGAAGGGTGGAAAGCGCTAACCGACTGATAATTCCATATCCTTATCCGGTGGATAAGTCAATGCTGTTATCCAATAAATGTGTCAACTGGATAAGATCCATCCATTGGATAGCGTTTTTTACCCTTCATACAACCTGGACCAGTTTTTTAGACACAAAAAGAAGTGAAGCAAAAAAGTTGTAGATGTATTGCTGCATAATTAAAATGCGAGTTAAAGAGGAATATTGCTGAATTTGGTCCTGTAAACTATGGGAGATATATCCAATATTATGAAGCTCTGATGACTGCATTTAAATCAAAGGATGGTAGTAGTAAAGGTAGATTTAGAGAATGGGAGCTTCATCAGGAGTATGAATATTGATGCTTGCCGTTTGGCATATATCAGTATGCATAGTAATGGAGACGTCTTGGCATCATATGTTTCACAAGAAATGAATGGCAAAATTATAATTWAAAAAAAAACATACGATGACACGGAGACGCTTTTGCATGATAAAAAAACTCGTAGATAATGCTAAACCGTTGACAACCATGGCTACTACACGTATTAGGTAGAGGAAAGCGGCTGAAGTGAGCCAGAAAAAGGATTGCAATGCAAATGACCAAACGAGAGAGTCATGTAAAAGTTTTAGTTTAACTAACAATTCTTTATTTATGATAAGTGTTAATGGTCACCTTTTGTATCAAGGAAAACGTGACTGAAGTTTTTTATTCCGATTCCAGCCTCCCTAGATTATTAGGTCAAACTCGACCCCAAATATATTATAGGCCTCATGTCCCCTTATGACGATAGCTCTCACAAACATAA